GGCGCGGCACGAGGGGACGGCGGGGCAGGCTTGGGTGGCCCTGCCATGAAGGCCAGCGCGGGCAGCTTGGCTCCAGCCGGTGCTGGCGTTCCTGGCTTTAAGTTCCCAGTCCCAACTGGGAACCAGTCTCTGTAAAGCACCAGCTCCATCAGTCCTCCTGCCACGACTATAAATTCTGCTTTATAAATATTATGTGGAAATGTTCAGGCACTTTGTTTCCTCCTCGTTGCTAAACTTTTCTCCACTTCTCCTGGACACCAAACCCACGCAGGCACACACCGCTCCCTGATGGCTGTAGCTACCTGAACGGGACAAACCCGGTCTACTTGCCGAACATCCCCTGGGACTGATCCTGCGCCAGCACCACTTGCCTGCCAAGCACCCACCGCATCAGTTTAGCCCCAGCTCAGCCCCATCCTGCTGCGCTCAGCACCTCAGGGCTGCCAAGTGATGCTCCATTGAGCAGGGATGGGCATGAGATTTTTCTTTTTTTCTCATCGGAATAAGCATTGCTAAAATGAGCCGCTCCTTGCTGCTGGGCCTTGCAGTACTCCAGCAGATCCCCGGGGTCTTTAGTTTCTCTCACCCGACAGTTTTCTAGCGCAGCTATTGCAGCATGCATGGTAACACCCGGCTACGCTGCGTGTGGCAAGAGCGCAGTGGGGATAGGAGCTCAAACCAGGGAGCAGAGTTAGAGATTGGGGGTTGCTCCATCACGTCCTCTGCCCCGGGGAAGCGGGGGGTGCCCACCTTCACCGACGCTTGCCAGCGTTTGCAAGTGTCACCCTTTCATAGGCAGAAGTCCCTTTTTAACCAGCGTGTCAGCAGCTCTGCACCCCCTTGGGTTTTAGGCAAGACTTGATGCTTTAGACTGGAGTGGAATGAGACCGTTTGGACTTTAACCTGCTTCAGACCTCCCATGGGACCATGGAAAGGTAGGCAATTATGTATGTGTTACGTGTATTTATATGTAAATACGCTCAGGCAGAGTGCTCTGCCCACTGTCTGCGTTCAGCTACTGCTTTCTGCATTTGCAAGCGGGAGGTAAACGATAATTCCAGCTACGTTTCCAGCAGTCCCAACAGCTGAAGATGACCCTGGTCACTGAAGGACACCGAAGTGATGCTCTGTGTTTCTGGAGCAGCCTGCGAGTGTTGGAAACGTTTGTTTTTCAGGGCTACCAGCTGGCCGCTGAGCTGCACGGCACCCCTGGGGGACGGTGGGGGAAAGCGGGCTAGGAATTAAATAATTATAATAAAATAAACCACATCTGGGAAAATGACCTTAGTGCGATTTTTCAGTCTGTTTTTGTATCTTTTATTTTTTTTCAGCCAAAGTGTACGGCACCGTGTGCATCCGTGCACAAGGGAAGGATGCCGAAAACCCTGGACAAACATTAGGGCTGTGACGGGTCACTGAGCATTTCTTTTTTATTCTATAATTCTTCCTTTTTGCTCTATTATACTAAGCCTATCACTTCAATCTGATTAAGTGTATGCAGATAAACATCCTGCCATTTGTCATGAAACTTTTTAAACTGTTTACTCACTCGAGGAAATGCAGCCGTTTTCCTTTCTGGTTCACAGAGGCTGTAGGGAGATACCGCCCACAAATTTATTTAAGAACCCCGTGTGCCCTTGCCCTGCTGTGGGCTCTTGCCTTGCTCGGGTTGAGATTTTATTTTAAGGGGTGGGACATTATCTCTGTCCTTAAAGCATAAGGTGCTACTTGGCACTTAAATGTTGATTTGCATTTCGCTGTTATCTCTTCGACGGCGTTACAGCTAAATAACAGCCAGCGTCAGGCTGGGGGGGCCATGGGAGACGTCCCCCCCACCGCGGGATGCATCACATCTGCCTGCACGTGAATATCAAAAAATGCCCATTTTTTCTGATGCAACCCAAGGCTGGGACACTATTTCTGACATGGACACTTCGAAGGAGGGCCCCAGCGTTCCCAACCCACACCCATTTTTTGGGGACACCCCCTCCCAGCACCCATGGGGACACAAAGGAGGTGCAGCCAGACCCCCTCCAGACGAAGAGAGGTATGTGGGGCTCCTGCACCCACACCCAGCTCTGCCCCATCAAACCCCAACCGGTGCCACAACCCAGCCGTTACGTCCCTGAGGGGCAGCGGTGTCCCCAACGTCCCCAACACCCCCGACCCCGCAGCAGCGCCCGGCCAGCGGGACAGCACAGAGAGGCGAGACATCGGCCGGGGGTTATTGAACCAGGAAGCTTTATTTACACAGTAAAAGTAACAAGCAATTTCCTGAGACTGAGCTGCTCTAGTGCAATCAAGTCATGGAGGGGAGTCACGAGTGGGCAGCCTCCTCGCCCGCCCGGGCAGGGGACACCGGTGGGGACACCTCGGGCAGCCCCTCCCCGGGGACACGCGCATCCCGCTGCGCTTGTGCAATTGCCAGCGAGACTTGGCTACTACAGGTCATAGCTTCAGAAGGGTTTTTTTTTTTTTTTTTTTTCCTTTTTTTTTTTTTT